TTCATTTTTTCTGAAGAAGGGTCCAGACCCGAAACGTCAGCTTTCCTGCTCCTCTGATTCTGCTTGGCCTGCAGTGTTCTCCAGCTCTACACCTTGTTATCTCAGATTCTGCAGCATTGGCAGTTCCCACTATCTCTACCCACATCAGGTCCTACTTATTGACTACAGCTCCGCCTTCAGCACTACAATTCCAACCAAACTAATCTCCAAACTCGGACCTAGATCTCTACTCTGCCCTCTGCAACTGGATCCTCAGCTTCCTGATCCACAGACTGTAACCAGTGAGAATAGACAACAACATCTGCTCCACTATTGTCCTCAACATCGGCTCCCTGCAAGGCTGCATACTCAGGCCCTTACCATACTCCCTGTACGCTCGTGACTGTGTGGCCAAATTTCATTCTCACTCCACCTACAAATTCACTGATGACACCACAATTGTAGGCCACATCACAAACAGTGATGAGACAGAATACATGAAAGTGCGTGCTTGGTAGCGTGGTGTAAAGATAACAATCTCTCCCTCAACTTCAGCAAAATGAAGGAGCTGGTCATTGACTTCAGGAAGCAAGGTGGAGGCATGCCCTTGTCTACATCAATGGAGCTGAGGTGGAGATGGTTGAAAGCGTCAAGCTCCTAGGAGTGACGATAACCAACAATCAGTCCTGGTCCACCTGCATAGATATGATGGTGAAGAAAGCACAGGAGGCTAAGAAAATTCAGCATGTCCATAAAGACTGTCAACAATACGTATAGATGCACCATAGAAAGTATTCTATCTGGATGCAATATGGCGTGGTATGGACCCAAGAAACTGCAGAGAGTTGTGAACACAGTCCAGTCGATCATGCAAGCCAACTTTCCATCCACTGACTCCATCTATACTTCTCACTGCGTCAGAAAGGCAGCCAACATATTCAAAGACTCCACCCACCCCGGTTATAATCTCTTCCAACCTCTTTCATCCGGCAGAAGGTACAAAAACTTAAACACACATACCAATGGATTCAAGAACAGCTTCTTCCCCGCTGTTTTCAGACTTCTGAATGGACTTCTCAAACTTTAAATTTAATGTTGATCTCACTCTTTGTGCAACTTCTGTGCAGCCGTAACATTGTAATCCTCGCTCTGTTCTATTACCCTTATGCACTTTGTATGGTATGGCAGGAGAAATAGCAAATGTGCTTGTGGTAATTATCCAAAATTCGCTGGACTCTGGAGCAGTTCCAGCAGACTAGAAAACAGCAAATGTGATGCCACTGTTTAAAAAAGGCAGTAGACAAAAGATGGGGGATTATAGGCCAGTTAGCTTAACTTCTGCAGTGGGGAAAATGCTTGAATCTATCAACAAGGAAGAAATAGCAAAACATCTAGATAGAAATTGTCCCATTGGGCAGGTGCAGCATGGGTTCATGAAGGACAGGTCATGTTGAACTAATTTACTGGAATTCTATGAGCGCACTGGACAATGGGGACCCAGCAGATGTGGTGCATCTAGATTTCCAAAAGGAATTTGACAAGATGCCGCACAAAAGGCTGCTGCATAAAATTAAGGTGCACGGCGTTACGGGCAATGTATTATTATGGGTTTGCAACAGGTAATTAAGAAGGCAAATGGAATTTTGTCCTTCATTGCTAGAGGGATTGAATTTAGAAGCAGGGAGGTTATGTTACAGCTGTATAGGGTGCTGGTGAAGCCATACCTGGAGTACTGCGTGCAGTTTTGGTCTCCTTACTTGAGAGAGGATGTACTGGCACTGGAGGCAGTGCAGAGGAGGTTCACTAGGTTGGCTCCAGAGTTGAGGGGTTTGGCTTATGAGGAGAGACTGAGTCAACTTGGATTATATTCATTGGAATTTAGAAGAATGGGAGGGGGGAGGAAACATTTAAAATTATGAAGGGCATAGATAAGGTAGAAGCAGGGAGGATGTTTCCACTGGCAGGTGAAACTAGAACAAGAGGGCATAGCCTCAAAATTAGGGGACAAGGTTTAGGCCCGAATTGAGGAGGAACTTCTTCACCCAAAGGGTTGTGAATCTGTGGAATTCCCTGCCCAGTGAAGTAGTTGAGACTTCCTCATTGAATGTTTTTAAAGCTAAGATCGATAATTTTTTGAACATTAAAGGAATTAAGGGTTATAGTGAGAGGGTGGGTAAGTGGAGCTGAGACCATAAAAAGATCTTAGTGAATGGCAGAGTAGGCTCGAAGGGCCAGATGGCCTATTCCTGCCCCTGGCTCTTCTGTTCTTATCTGCCATACTGCACGCAAAACAAAACTTTTCACTGTGCCTAGGTACATGTGACAATAATAAATCAAATAAAATCCATCAAAAATCAAATCCGAGTTCCTGCAACTAATCTGAAACCTCTTATGTGATGTTCATGATCACAGTTACTATTGCACGTTAATGAAAACAAAGAAGGAATACTTAGAAAAACACTACCTCAATAGTTTACTTATTTCCCACAGCAAATTTTAGTGCAGATACAGCTGATTTTACTGAGGCTGTCTCCACCGTTCACTGGGGAAGAAAATTCCATAAACTCATGACCTTCTGAGAGAGAAAAAACTTACCTAAGACTTTTAAAAACTGTGTTCCCTTATTTAAGTCTCTTCCACAAGCTGAAATACCCTTTCAATACCCACACTCTCAAGTCCCTTTTGGGATTTTGTACGTTTTAATAAGATTGCTTGTCATTATTGGCTTGACTAGACATATTCCCAACCTGTCCAACCATTCCTCATAGGATTAACTGCTCATCAGTCAACTGAACTTTCTCTAAGCTACTTCTGTCTACAATTCTGTCTTCAATGCTGCTACAACAGCATGTGCACCAACCTTAAAAGTGTTTCCAACAGCAGCCAGTGAAATATTTTTCTACTTCCTGTACAACCAATCTGTTTCTCTTCTGAATGAGATTGTTAGTTTAATGCTGATTTGTGCCATTCTGGTGGTTGAAAATGCCGAGAAGGAGCCAGATTGGATCTGCCCAGTTTGTATTGTATCACCAACAATAATGGATACTTTCATCCTATACCATCAGCTGAGACTTGTTAGCAAAGCTCCTGCTTTATTGTTACTTTTTAATTGTTTTATTTGAAGAAGTTCCAAGCATTGAAAAGTTACTGTGACTGGTTGAGTTGGCTTTTTCCTTTACCTTAGTAGGACAGTTATCCATCGGGAGAATCTTGCATTATTATTTTGTCTTAGCTAACTTCAGGACATCCTGTATTCCTTTGTAGTCTGTTGTTGTGTAGAGTTGCAGCCAATTTGAACATACAAAGTCCCAAAAGCACCAATGAGATACACGAACAGATCTTTTTTAAATAAATATTGACTTAGACTCATGAAGAACTGACATGTATCATTTCTGATTGTGAATTCGAACTTGAATCAACCTAAATTCCGAAGCGGAATCATTCTGAAAATTTGTATTAGACTTGGAAATTCAAATACATTTATTTGTTTTGAAAAGTAACAATGGATAAGTAACTAGAAGTATATACATTGAAGAATGTTTATTTGTAAGATGGCTGCATATCAAGATAGTCTGCATTTTTGGGAACCTCGTGCAAAAATGTTGTTACCATTTCTGTTGATGGCACAGCATGTTGTGAACTAATTGTTTTGCCTCTTTCCTCTTTCTCCTCTTGCTGCTGATGTATTCAATATCAGGCACGTGAACACTGTCTCCACATGTTGGAGGAGGCGCTGACCAAGAATAAACAGGAAATTGCAAAGCCAGAGTGGTGAGTAAAGACTGTAGCAGCCAAATACACACATGCATATTATTCAACACAGTCTCAATAATGTATTTATGTGAATAGCTCCTTTAATGCAGCAAAATATCCCAAGGCACTTCACAGCAGTATAGCCAGACAAGCACTGATACCCGGTGAAAGAAGAAACATGAAGACCTATGACCTTAAGCTTGATAAAAGAGGTAGATTTAAAGGAAATAAGACAGTTGGAGAAACTTGTTAAGGGATTTCTAGAGCTTTCGGCCCAGCTGAAAGCATGGCTACCTTTGGTAGAGTGAATGAAGTATTGTAACATTTCGATAAGTTGAATCACAGATGGCTTGCCCACAAACTCTGATTAAACGATAGACAAGGCGGCCCCTACATGACTTGATCTGCCTACATTCTACGCCAAAAAAACACTGATGCAGTAAATATATGAAAAATGTTTTTTTTTTAAAACTTATTGACACCTTACAATGTCCTGACAATATATAATTAAAGGCATTGAACAAAGTTGGGAGTTATCTCTGGAAAAGCTTCATAATCTTTTTTCTGCTTAGTATATGTCTTCATATGTGGTTAGCAGTCAAATGACAATTGTGCAAAGGTTCAGCTAATATAGAGTTACCAGTCCAGAACTTCAGCTTCTCATGGGTATCCCTCTATTGGATGTCCTATTGTACCTGTGGGAATGGCTGACAACTTCTACATGGCTGGAGTTTCAGAATATCAGAATTTGACTCATTGTGATTTTTGTTGTACCAAAAGTACTTGTTCTTTTTTAAATGCCTTTGTACTTTCATAATTTTGTCCTGTGTTCCATTCACCAAGACATTCCCATGATATCTCTGCATGCATATTGTGGCAATGTACATCTTCTTTCTCACAATGAAGATTTACACAGCTGATTCCATTGCATGCCCTGATGCGTAGATCCTTTCTCACTAACAGGGCAGACCCTCACTCATGTGCTGTACAGATGGAATATGAAGCTTTCAAAATCAGCAAGATGGCTAACTTATACAAAGCACTGGTGCTAAAAAAGGTGGGTAAACAAAGTGAGGATCTATTTAACAAGATATTCTGTATTAGATACAATATATTGTGGCTATCCTTACCTGGTCTGGCCTACATGTGACTCCAGACCCACCGCAATGTGGTTGACTCTTAACTGCCCTCTGGGCAATAAATGCTCCTAGTCAGCAATGCCCTCATCCCATGAATGAACAAAGAAAAATCAAGCAATTAAAAGGGGGATAGTGGGAAAGAGCAGAATGAGGAAATTAGTAAGAATTCAGAACTGGCAGCAGAGAAGCATTCAATTTAGAAGATTACAACTGAGACCCTTAGAAAGAGAAACTATTATTACTGAAATCTTTACAGTGAGCAGCATGTAAAGAGCTATGCTCAGGAACTGTAATGAAAATAGAGAGTGTGATTCTTGATTTTTAATTGTGAGCTCTTTAAGAGTGTTGGGGCAACAGAATGTTAAAATGAGAACAATTATGCACCATGCACTATGCACCATTGATCTGGAGCAGCCCGAGCATTGTACTGTGTCGTGATGTACTGTGGGACTTGCTTTGTAAGCACTGGTTTTAAAGTGAAGATTGATGGTCTCAGTGTTTACAATGTGCCATTAGATGTCAGCATAGAGTGAAATGGGGCAAAATTACATTGGTAATGAGAATGTTTGCTTTCAAAATATTTTCTTCAAAGGAACAGAATTAATAACAATGTACACATCTTTTGTTGCACTCAGTGTTATAATAGTAAAGTTTACAAAGTTGTTATTTTGGGACTGTGGCTTTAAATTTAGGGTACATGCCGACTGCTTTGAAGTCTCCCTGACAGTCAGCCTAGGTGCTTTGGTCGTTTGAGATAAAAGGAAGATTCAGGTGGTTATACTGAAGAAAATGTATTTATACTTGAGACAGTGGCAGCAGTCTCTAATTTTACAATGACTAATCTCTGAGTCTCTCAAAATTCTACAAAAATATTAAACATAAAACACTGTTTTCATTTTCTATACATCTTATACTTCAGCTACACACAAGAGCATGTAAGCTGTCCATTTGTTTTTAATATGCAAGGGATCAAAATGTTTAATTAACATTTTTACTTGGATGCAAGGTTAATGTGCTTCATTTGCCGTGGAGAACAGAGCAGAGGAAACCAATCTTTGAGATCACATTAATGACTTAGAGGCATGCTGTCATATAGCATTGAAACAGGTCCTTCTGTCTACCTTGTCTATACAGACCAACAAACATCAAACTATACTAGTGCCAATGCCTCTTTTTACTTCCTTGTTTTCTCATCAATATTCTTCGTCATTCAGGGTACTCTAGCTTTGGATGCCCTGTATTTATTTCTTATGGATATGGACCTACCTTGCACCCTAATCATTTCTCTTTTGAAAGTCTCCCATTCTTGATATCTCTCTTCACACTCCTTAATGTTGACTCTAATCTCTACTTTTCTTCTATAGCATCTGTATAACTAACAGCGTATTTTTAAATCTTCATTCACAGGCTGAATTGTTACAGTTCCTACAAATCAATTAATATCACAGAGAGAAAGCAGTTCTTTGTACTTAGAAAACTGAACAGGCTGCTTGACTATTTTGGCTATTACAGCCGGACTTGGGAAAGAGATGGTTTCTGGCAGAAGAGAAGCATCTTGCAGTGATCTAAATTTTTGTGTTGGCACGGCTGGGGGAAGAATAGTTATCTGAATGGGCTTTACTATTGGTGCTAGATTTGAGAAACCTGTGTGTAGCTAAATTGTAAGATAAATCTAAAAAAGTGTTTAGTCTGTCATTTGTTGTAGTAAATTTTTTAAAAATGTTCTTGTCGAATCTGCAGTTTTTGAAGAGGCAATTAAGGACAGAGGATAGGTGTGCATATGGAGATTGTCTTTCTAGATTTACATTTGTAAATGGCTCACACAAGGTCAAGAGTAAACATGACAGCACATTGAATTGGAGGTAACCTTCTTACATGGATTGATGGTAAATGGTAGATGTGGAATGAAAACAGTGCAGAAAATCGCAGTAAGCATTGGTGGAGAAAGAAACAGAATTAAAGTTTCAAGTCTGAGATAATTCTTCAGAATAGTTTCAGAATTACAGCATAAGTATTTTGCTTTTGTCAGAAATTCACAGATGACACTAGGTTCAAAACTAAAATAAGTGTGTAGGTGGAAGTAGTTTGGAACATAAATTAAGTGAATTTTGGCAGATAAAGTTCAGTCTGTGATGCCATCCAATGAGTCAGATCTGAATATTTTGCTGGAAAGTGAGGGATTTTGGATAAATGGAGAGATTTGGGATGCCATATGACAAATCATTCATGTTTAAGCAAATGTACAGAATGTAATCAAAATATTTAATGGAACATTGACTTTTATCTTAAGGAGATTCAAAATCAAAAGTGAGTATGTGATATGTTAGTTGTCCAGAGCCTTTATTTGATATACCTGGTGTATTGCTTTCTGTTCTGTGCACTGCACCTCAAGAGAGATATATTAGCCTTGGAAAATGTACAGCATAGATTCGTCCGACTTGTACTCACGCTTAAAGGGTTAACTTATTGGACAGGTTCAAATATGATGCTTAGATGTTATTAAGGTCAGAGGTTGTAAAAAATAACAAAGGGATTCAATGGAGTAGATAATGATTTTCTCATGTTACCATTGCTACGTTTTGCTGATCACTTTCCATTGGTTTCCTCTAGTTCTGGAAAGTTTCTTCAACTGAACTGTTTTTCAATATTTATTCTCTCAAGAAACCCCTGATTCTTTTGATTTCCTCTGTCAGATTTCTTTTAATCTTCTCTTTGTGTAACTGTAGTTCTTCCTCCTTAGAACCATGTTCATGAATTCTTTCTGTATCATCTTGATGTCTTCACATCTTTCCTAACATTTACCACCCAGTACTGGATACAGCACTCCAGTTAAAACTAAACCAATGTTTATACAGTTTTATCATAAATTGATTATTTTTGTACTCCTGACCTCCACTTATAAATCCCAGTATACTTTATGCTTTATTAATTACATTCTTAACCTGCACTAGCAACATCAATAATCTGTGCTCATAGACCTGAAGGTCTCTGTGCTTTTGCATCCATTTTAGAATTAGATCTTTTATATTGCCTTTCCTTATCGTTCCTACCAAATTAAATCACTTCACATTCCTCTGTATTAAATTTCATCTGGCTTTTGTACATCCATTCCAGCAGTCTATCTATGTCTTCTTGAAGTTTAACACTCTTACCCCCTCTCAGTCCACAATACTTCCATGTTTTGTGTCACAACTGAAGACTCTAGTTACTAGATACTTGCTAAGTAAGGAAATGGAACAAAATAGGATAAATGGAGTTGAGGTGCAGACCAGCCATGGTGACAGAGCAGGCTCAAGGGGTTGAAAACAGAAGTGGCTGGAGAAACGCAGCTGGCCAGGCAGCATCCATGGAGATGGAAACAGAGTTAATGTTTCGAGTCCAGCATGACTCTTCTATGAAACTGAAGGGTCCCAATGGTCTGCATTTTTATTTATTTGTTACTTCTTTTTCATATTAGGTTGGAGAAATTAATAAGTCAACACAAAATAAGCCTTTGCATCCAAAACGGACAGAAATGGATACTGAAGTAGCATCAACAGATTGTGAAAAAGATGGTGAAACGTTTATTTCTGCATCACAGGTCTATTCTGTGAGTATATCTTTTGTCTTTCAGTCGATAACTGTAATCCCCTCTCCTCTTCAGTAGTAAGATTCAAAATCTCACAGCAGAATTCATGCCCCCTGAAACTTCACTACATTAAACATAACATAGTCTATGGTTCAAACTAATTCTTTGGCATGACTTCAAAACTCTTGCAAAATTTTTCTTAGTCTTTCCCTTTTCCTACAATCTACAAGCTTTATAACTCCGACGTGGCATTATGCTGATTCAAGTCACCTTCCATGTCATCCTGACAGTGTCCTGTAAAGAGGTTTTTGACCTTTCTACATGTTGGATTGTGGTGCTAGCTACTGGCATTGTAGTTGCATGGGCACAGGACTGATTGTAACCAATTGACTTCCATACTGAAAGATGACCTTCAATCTGGATGACCTCAACCACACGTACGAATACTTCTAGCTCCTGCCCATTGATTTTTGAATGTTGCTGACCTCAAGCCACTGACCTCTGTATTATGTCACTGACTTCCAACTATTACCTGCTGAATCGTGTGTGTCATGGACGTCCATCCATGGCCTACTTTATCTGCAGCACTGCTGACTTCAAGCCACTGCCCTCTATATTACTGTCTCTTGTCTGCAGCCGTTGCCCACTGTTCTATGTGTGTTATTGACCTCCGACAACTTTCGACTAATCATACATGCATCTGACCTGAACGTTGTCACTGACTGTACCATAAATACCAGACAGGTGCTTATTTATTTCTATGCTTTGCAGTTCAAACGAAAGCGTGTGGGAGTAGGAGGTCAGAGTTTATCTAGCCCATTCCGAACTGCAGGAGAGATGCTGAAGAACTCAGTGCGAGTGAACAGTGAGCAGAAGAATAACACTAGCTCAGAAAGCCCAATATACCATTCGGATGGAATGAGAAAGAAAGAAATTACAAGCTCTCTAGAAGTCATGAAACCCTCTGCACATGCTAATGAGAGGACAGGTCAGTGCTCACCTCTCCACTCCAGTCCCAGCAAGAGGAAACCCACCAAAAAGCAATTGCTGGCAGAGAGTGCCAAGAAAGACTCTCAGAATATTACCAAATTCTTCCAGCAGAGCAAATCTAAAGGGGCAGCAGATGCATCAGTCAAAGTCCCCGGTGAGGGCTGCAGCACATTCGTTAATGATATACCAGAAGAAGAGGACAGCACGAGAGCATCCTCTTCCACTTCGGCCTTGTCTGGGGAACTGGGATCTCTTCCAGATCTTGATAAAGTGACTAAGACTGTAAATAAGGACATGGTACAAAAATGTTTACTGACCCATCATGACATGGAGGAGAAGACAAGGTAACATTAAATGCTGGGCATTTTACCGTGTCCTGTCATCCATATTTTTTTCCCTGCCTATTGATTTTCTTTATGCTCATCAAAATGAGATATGTTAGTGCTAAGGTAAGAGTGCTCCAGTTTTGGCACAGTGAGAACATCAAGTTTCCTCTATTTTGGCTTAAAAATGGGCCTCAGCTTCAATTGCTAAAGCTTTTGCGAAAGATGTTGTATCAGTTCCCACATTAGCCATCCATATTATGGCCATTTTGAAACAGATTAATGTTGGAACAATCTTTCTTCCATGATGTGGAGGTGCCAGTGTTGGACTTGGGTGAGCAAAGTCAGAAGTCACATGATACCAGGTTATAGTCCAACAGGCTTATTTGAAATCACACAAGCTTTTGGAGCGCAGCCCCTTCATCAGGGACAGTAATAGAGGAGTGCATATAGACATAGAGTACATAGGTAGAGAAATCAAAAGATCATACAACTGGTGTGAGTGGAATGTCAGATAATAAGTCTCTGCAGGTGACCAAGACTGTTAGACACTCTATAAAGTGTTTATAAAGTTAATGTCAATGCTGTGTTGTCATGACAGTCAGGCAGAGTGATAGAAATGTATAAAAAAGTGACATCTTAGGTCAGACACTGAATTGTATAAGTCCATAAGCAACAGGAACAAATGGAACTCAATCCCTTGAGCATGCTCCACCATTCAGTTGGATCATGTCTGCTTTCCTGCCCTTTCTACTCTGTTGTCTGCAGCGCCCCCCCACCACCTCCCCTCAATCTTAAGTTTGCTATACCAAAGGTATTAATTTTGGTAAGCTCATTACCTGCTCAATGTCTAGCACTGCACTCAAATTTGTCACAGTCCTTTCATATCACTGAATAGAGATTGAGTGGGAACCATGGCTCTCCTATCATCGCTCCCATAATATACATTCACTGGGAGCAATTGCTTCTTCAAGTGGATCCCATCACCTTTTGCTTGTCAGAGCTGATTTTCATTACCCAATAATAGTTTACTCAAACCAAGTGAACTGAATATTCATATATTCTGTAGATGCTCTCAAATGCTATTCTCAAGAAAATATCTGGTTCGACAGGGGTCAATTTGTTAGTGTTTATCAACAAATGAACATAAATGATTGTACTTGATCAGTACGACTTCACTTTGCATACTCATGCAAAAAATGTTATACTTCCCTGAATCAGCAGGTCATCTTGCTTGACTTTAAACAAAACTAATTCTCAAATAAGCTCCAACTACCTTCTGAACTTAGTCAAAGCTTGCTTTTACAGCTTTCTGTTTAAAACCTGTCTGTTTTACCACTCAGATAGTAAGAACTGCTGATGCTGGAGTCAGAGACAACACAGTGTGGAGCTGGAGGAACACAGCAGGCCAGGCCTAGCTCCTCTGATGCTGTCTGACATTCAATTCCTCAACCTTATGTGGAAATCATCTTGTCTCAGACTACCCCGAGTGGCCGACTTACCACCGGGACCCCCTGACCTAAGTCTATCCCGTTTGACTGAGTGTTGCTGACAGCCACGAGAAGCTTCCTTTTGATCTACACTAAACAGGAAAGCAAGAAATAATATGAGCCTTGTTTGTTTGGCTGAGGGGGCAAAGTGCAAAAATACACTACCAGTAAGGGATGCTGTGAGCATCCAATTAGGCTCAAAGTGACTGTGCATTATGACAGCAAATCAAGAGCCTGGAGATGCAGCCTGGTTCAGTCCATGAGCTGTGTACATCCCTGAGCATACAGTATCCTTTCTGCGGCATTACAATGATAGGTGCTGAAGCTGCTATAAGGGTAATGGAGATGTGCTATAAGGGCTCTTAGAGGCTGGCATTTATCGGATACCAAATGTTCATGAATATAGGATGCATGTGGCCAGTGCCTGCAGAGCCTGCCCAGGGTCCAACATGGCAGTCTTTTGTAGCAAATGGTGTACTGAATTTGTAAGATACCTGCTCTGATTTCCATGTTGAGTTTTCTCAATGTGTAGCTTGTTTGGCTAGTTTGGTAAGATAGATGCTGAACATTAATGAGGTGAGTTGGGCTGTGCCCAAGGCATTTAACAAGCAATCATCCCCTGGAATTGGCAACTCGCTGCTGCCTAGCAAGACGGTCACCTCGCTGCATCAGAAAAGCATAAAAGATCGAGTGAGAAGATCTTGATGTCAAGATCGTCTTACTGGACTTCTTGTCCAATTCTATCACAAATCTAGCCATCGGCCACATCGTTCAGCCCCATATAAGATTCCACCCAGTGTTTCATTGTTGTGCTTCAGGTTGTTTTGCTAATTACTTGAAATAAGTGTCCTGGTAACCAAGCCTTTTGCCACTGGAAACAGTTCCACATTATTTGCTTTACAAAAGCCTTGTCATTGGTTTGAATATCTCTATCAAATCTCCTGTTGTGAAGCAAGTTGTTGAGGTAAAGATCAATATTACATTAACTGTTTGGAATAGATTTGAGAGGCCAATGACCTACTTCTGTTTTTATTCTAGAGAAGTGTACAACACTTGTTGATCAAATAAATAGGGGAAGGTCTGTGACTGGATTGTATGTTGCGGTTGTTCATGACCCAGGATATTCTTTTTGACATGTATTATTATGACAGCGTTAGAAACATGGAGAAAGGTCCTGCTGGGAAAATACCAGATGATGCAAGAAGCCAAGGATTGGAAGTTGCTCCCTTTGCTCGTGAGAAACGACCAGCAACAGATGAAGTAAGTCACCTTAGTATTTGTTACACACTGATTTATGCTCTACATATCTTGGACTTATACCTATGCTCTTTCAGGGACGAGGATCACTGGACTTGAAACGACAACGAAACAGCATCAATTCTTCCATCTTATGCCCTCCTGATGTTAAGGGCAGTCAGAATAAGAAAAAGGTGACCTTTGACTCCTTGTTTCAGTTATGTAAAAATGATGGAACCAAGATGTCTCCAGTTGCAGTGAAAGGAGGACAACTGAAACAGGCAGCAGACATTGTTGTCAAATGCCTGACTCCTTACTACAAGGATGGAAGATTTGCTTCTAAGGTAAAATTGAATTGTTAGTATAATCAGAATGGAATACCCTTAGCTGTTGAATCATGATTTGGGACTGTTAGATCAGTGTCTTGCACAGGATTGATAAGCTATTGATGTGCTCACTTTTAGCCAGGTATATATTCAGCTGGAAATTTAAAGTCCTTGCTTCAGGTAATGAATAATGCCTCATGTTCACATTCCTACAGGATCTGTTTAAAGCCTTTGCTCGACACCTTTCTCATTTACTGGTTGTTGAAGAGAATACCATGAAAAGAAACGGTAAGAGCAGACTCTGCCTTCATTTGTGATCTGTTGTGTTCTGGAAAGATGGGTATACCATTAGTCAAAGAGATGAATGCAGTTTGTTGAGTGCATTTGGAATACTTATAAACTTCTTTCTAGGTAAAACACTACAGCATGATCAACGCAGTATGGGGAATGTAGGTATCTGAGTTAACTGTGACAGTTCAACATGAGGGCACAAGTGATATTGGACATTCCTCAAATAATGGTCAACATGTTGGATGTATGGATTGGGAATTACAAGCAAACTCTGAGATAGATGAATGTTGTGATGGGCAGCACTGCAACTGTTTTCTGGACAAATGAACTAGACTGGACCAAATTACTTCTACCTTGTGAGCGATAGATGCAACTAACTCCAACGTAAATATTTTAAGACTAATTCATTAATTCTCCCCGATTTATTTTTCTCTGTTCCTTTCTAAAGATCCCAAATGTTGTTTGTGCATTTTTGTATGGTAGTGAACATTTCTGGTGCATTTCCCAGACATCCAGCTCTATGTCAGCAGGTTATTTGACTCTTAACCAAAGATATTGGCTCTTAAACCAACATTACTACTTTGTCATGGTCAGACCTTGAGGTATATGGAAGTTTAGTTTTCTGTAGTATGTGCATGTAGGTATTTATCCTTTCTCACTCACGCAGCAGTTAGAGATCCTGGGAAAGACCAAGAAAATCTTTATTGCAGTTTAGGAAATAATTCTAGGAAAGTACTTTAAACACTGTCCCCCATTGTAATGAAAATAATGTAGAAAATCGCAAACCAATCATGGTTTTGTTTATCAGCAGCATTAAAATGGTGTTTCACTGCATCACTGCTCTGTTGTCATTCCTAGCATTTAGTATCCTATCCCCTTAACTGCCCCATGTGATAATCTGTGGTTAATTTTAATGTTAAAACAAAATTATCGCACTCTTCAGTATTTACAGTTGTGATATTTCTGTTGTGCCCAGTCCCCTGCCTGTACACTTCATCTCAGCTCCATATTAATTCTGGAGCTTCTGTTGCCTTGTTTGTTCAAAGAATTTTTTTGTACATTAGCCTTAGGACTGAATGTATTGTGAGACATTGATGGTATTCCTGTTTGAGACAAACTAAAACTAGTTTTAATTTAAGCCCCTTCTATAAAGGAACAGGAGTAGGTCATTCACCCTTCGAGTCTGTTTCATCATGCAACGGGATCATGGCTGATCTGTGGCCCAACTCTCTCTGTATACCTTAGATTTAAAAAAAAATTGTTAAGCAATCTTAGATTTAAAATTAAAAACTGATCCAGCATCAACTGCCATTTGTGGAAGCAAGTTCCAAACATCTACCACCCTTGTCATTCTTAAATCTCTCCTGTACTGTCTGGCCCTAATTCTCAGACTATGCCCCATAGTTCTAGAATCCCCAACCAGCGGAAATAGTTCATCTTTATCTAACCTGTCTTTTCCTGTTAATATCTTGAAGATTTCAATCTGATCACCCTTTAACCTTATTAATTCTAGAGAAAACAGGCCAACTTGTATAATCTATCCTTATTACATAATCCCTGAAATCTGAGTATCATTCTTGTAAATCTACATTGTACTCCCTCTAAAGCTCATATATCCTTCCTAAGGTATGGTGCCTAAATCTGCTCACAGGACGCCAAGTGGGGTCTAAACAGAGTTTTGTATAAGTGCAGCATAACTTCTGCATCCTTATACCCCTGTCTTCCAGATATAAGAAGCCAGCATTCCATTAGCTTTTTTGATTATTTTCTGCAACTGTTTGTGGCATTTTTAAAAATCTGTGCTTGAATTACCGAGTCTCTTTACAAATCCACTGTATTTAGTTTTATACCACTTAGAAAGTACCCTGCTGTATCCTTTTTCACTCCAAAGTGGATAGTGTCACATTGGCTGACATTGAACTCCATCTGCCACAGTTTTGCCATTCACTTAGCATAAAATTGTAAAAGAATATTGTTAGACAATCATCTACACTATCTACAATGACACCAAACTTTGTATTATCAGCAAATCCACTCAGTCACGGAGGGAAGGTCATTGAAGGGTCAGTCGTACTTTATAACACAACTGGCATAATTATTTTCAGGCCTTTATCATAACAAAATGTTCAAAACATTTCAGTTAGATCCAAACTGTCAGAGGAATGAGAGGAGATGATGAGTAGCACAGTGGGAGATCATTTAGGAGGTTATGAAGAGAATGCAGAAACACCGCAAGAGGATTAGGAGAATGAACTTTGGGGTTGTTTGGCTGTTCTTGAACCCTATTGGTTATGTCAGTAATTTCTAAATGCTCCACTAGTTTGTGTTGAGGCAGAATTTTGACCATGGTCTGCTGGTTTATGGTTGAGAAAACTGAGCCCATAATTAAGTGCTCCTGTGGTTGATCTTCTGTTGATATCTCTACTTTGAAATATCTAGGAGTATGGTGATGACCAGTTGAGCACTTTACATAAATTAAATAATGAAGCACTTCGTACACATAGTTTATTGTAAGTGAGTGTTAATTAGCAGAGAGATGAGATGTATATTTAGAATGGCTTAATTTGCTAGGTTTGTGTCTTCCTTCTCCTGTCTGTTGTGCTCTCTAGGGTTGATTCTGGCCCTATTGTAGAAATTTACAATTCAGGAGTCCATTTTGGCTCATTACACCTGTCCGGCCAAAATCCAGCCTAATCCCACATAGTCTTGCATGTTATAGCATTTCAAATAAATATCTTTTTTTAATGGAATTGTACTTTTCTGTGCATGAGGGTCTGCCTTCTTTCACCTGAGTCAACCAGCAAATCTCATGTCTTCTCCATTCTCATCAGTACCTCTCTCACTCTTGTACCAATTACTTAACAATATATGCAGCTTGCTCATTGTCTTTCCTGCTGAGGGAAATGGGTCTTTCTGTCCATTTTATTGAGACTGCTCATAACAGTACAGTTGTAGAGTCATAGAGGGGCACAGCACAGAAACAGACCCTTCAGTCGAACCTTTCCAGGCTGACCAGATATCCTGAATAAATCAGTCCCAGTTGCCAGCATTTGGTCCATATTCCTCTTAAACTCTTCCTATTCATTTACCATCCAGATGCCTTTTAAATGTTACAATTGTACTAGCCTCCACCACTTCCTCTGGCACTACATTCCATACACACACCAGCATCTGCATGAAAATGTTGTCCCTTAGGTCCCTTTTAAATCTTTCCCCTCTCACCTTAAACCTATGCCCTCTAGTTTTGGACTCCCCCACCCCAGAGAAAAGACCTTGTCTATTCACCCTATCCATGCCCCTCATGATTTTATAAACCTCTATAAGGTCACCTCTCAGCCCCCAAATGGGAGGATGGGAGGAGACTGTGGCTGTAATAGCTGCTTTCTTGAGATATTTTCAGTTTGGAGCTGATTTGCTCAAATTCTAGGAGCAGTAATTACTGTTTTATGAGCTATTTCATTGTTTTGGAATTTTGGGGGGAAAAGATAATCAAAACAGTGGCATTTTGATTCAGAGAAAGAGAGACAAAAGCACTGACCACATGGGAAATGAATCAAACGGAGAAATAAACCTATACAGAGGGTGGTACGCATATGGAATGAGCTGGAAGTGGTTGAGGCGGGTACGTTAACAACATTTAAAAGGCAGTTGGACAAATACATGGATAGTAAAGATTTATAAGGATGTGGACCAAATGCAGGGAAATGTGGTTAGCGTGGATGGATATTTTGGTTGGCATGGACCAGTTTGGGCTGAAGGGGCTGTCTCTGTGCTGTAGGACTCTATGATAGCTGTCTGAATCAGCAGTGAATCTGCACAGCTGACAGTCTCTGCTGTTTGATTTCAAGTATCTCTGGACATCAGAGTTCGTCGATGAAAAATAAACAAACAGTGAAATTCACAGCTGACCTTGGAGTATAGTCATTAATTAAATCTCAGAAAACAGCCCAGCCCCTTCCAATCTTTCTTCATTCTTAAAATTCTCCATTCCTGCCAACGTCCTCTTAAATCTCTTTACTGTGACACAGCGACTATAACTGCATACAACACTTGACACTTTTATGCAGTTCTAGAAAAATGCTGTCACATCTGATAAAAGAAAGTATCTTCTCTGACTTCCTAATCACCTGACGTACGATTCCTGCTATCTTCAGGTTATTCCAGATTACCTGTATTCCTCTATGCTTTTCAGTCTATCATTTATTGTGTAGTTCGTTGCCGTATAGTTCTCTGGATTGAATTCATTTACGGCATATCTCCTTATCTGATTAATCTATTAATATCTTTCCCTGGTTGACCGCTTTTTCCTATCATTAATAACACGGCAAATTTTTGTCATCTTCAAACTTGTCATTCTCTTTATATTTAATCTAAATTATTGATAAATGTCACAAGCAAATGTTTAAAGGGGCTCAATACTAAGATCTGTGGAACCCTACTAAAAGTGCCCTTCCAAGTCACAAAAACATTAATTTTGGATTCAACATGCTACTTTCCCTTGAATCCCATGAACTTTTACTTTTCTGATCAGTCTGCCATGTAGGAAGTTGCTAAAAACCTCACTAAAATCGATATAACAACACCAAGTCTACTGTCATCATCAAATCTTCTCAAAAATGTCAGTTAGTCAGACATCATCTTCCCAAACAAATCCATGCTGACATTTTTGTTTATTCATTCACGGGATGAGGACGTTGCTGGCTAGGCAGCATTTATTGCCCATCCCCGAAGGCAGTCAAGAGTCAACCACATGTCTGTGGGTCTGGAGTCACATGTAGGCTAGACCAGATAAGGATGGCATTTTCCTTCCCTAAAGGACATTAGTGAACCAGATAGGTTTTTCCGACAATTGGCAATGGATTCATGGTCACCATTAGACTGCTAATTCCAGATATTTATTGAATTCAAATTCCACCATCTGCCGTGGCGGGATTTGAACCCGGGTCCCCAGAACATTATCTGGGTCTCTGGATTAACAGTCCAGCAATAATACCACTAGGCCATTGCCTCCCCTTCCTTTTATTAATCTGCCTTTCTAAATAACAATTAATATTCTGTCTCACAATTGTTCCCAATAATTTGCTTGCTGCCAAGAAAATAGGCTGACTAGCCTGCAATTATTCAGCTTATTCTTTTCAACCCTTTTAAACAACAGTGCAGTGGTAGCTATCTTCCAGTCCTCTGGGTTGGGAAATGATGGTCTGAGTCTCAGCAATTTTGAATTTGACAGGACTGAGATATCCAGTCATGCCTCTATTTATTGGACTTTCAGTTTTTCTAACCTGACTTTAAAGCTGTCAGTGTGTCTCACTGCTTCCTCTTTCCCATGCATTGTCTGGGTTACTTACTTTGAGTCTGGTATAGTCTGTGGACCTTGCCCTAATGCTTGTTCCTGTTGTCACTCAAGTTCAGTTTCTGACTTTCTACCTAGGAAATTCATTGTCAGGTTCTGTTTTGGGGGATGATGAGAAAATTGAGTCAGTCAAACTGTAGTTCAGTTACAGAGAGATCTCAAGTGAAACATTTAAAAATTTACTTAGAATTTCAGGAATGCTCTCATTTATTATACAATGTCTACTAGGAGATTGATTTTTAATTCATTTTAAGCTCATTTTATTTTAATCTCTTTCAGTAAAACAGGAAGCTCAACATCTAATCCACAGTTTCTTTAAAAGCTGCAGGAGGTGTGAGAATGAGAATGATTGGAGAAACCTCAAATCAACATAGCCATTTTTTATTTGATGCTGTCTGGAACTATGCGCTTTGTGTTTATATTAGTTTATTATATTTAGCAGTTACAATATAACTTTGCTTTAAAGCTGCTTAACCTCAGGTATGACTATATCCATCAAGACTGACCTCTATGATTGGAAACAAGCTATTTGTCAGCCTTTTCTATGCAGCCTCTTTATTCTCCATGCTGATGAATGAGAATGAAGTAATTTATTATATAGGGTGGTTATTGTTCTGTGTAATTATTGAGGGATTTGGAACAACTTCACCTGAATAAAGTTTCTTTAAACTATTCTGTTATCTTGATCCATGGTGTGTTGCTGCTGTTAACCTTAGCTAAAACACAATAAAGGATGGGTTTATATCCTTTAGGAATGCAAATACCCTTTTTTGAATAGGATTTTTATCTCTAAATGAATGGCAGAGTGTGTCTTGGTTTAATATTCCAGTCAAAGGAATGCACTCCTTCAATATAGTACCTCAGTCTAGGTTTCACATATGGCAGCATGAAGTTAGAGTGTTAAGTTTGCACACTAACCTCACAGTAATGAAGCAAACTGAATTTACTTAATGGACTCCACATATTACCAGCTTTTCAAAATTGAGCTGCTGCCTATCCTTTGGTTTGGAATCTCCTGTGGGCTGTCAAATGTCAATATATTAGCGAAGACCCACAGACTTTAGAGCTTGGTAGCGGTACCTCCTTTCATGGTAATTAATGATTCCTGGCAGACTCCTTGTTTTTTTGAGTATGTCCAAGCTGTAAATCATTTCAACTACTGTGCGCTGTCTCAAGTCTGATTGGGCATCCGCAAAACCGGTTGGTCATATGTTACTGGTGCTTAACAGATCATCTGCCTAATGTGTGACCCCGACGTTCCTCTGACACGTTGGATATTGAGAGTTTTGGAGTTTGTGGTCATCAAAACATGTTGGACCAAATTTAATTGCTTCCTTCAGTGTCTTCAGTAATTTCACGCTCCTTATTGTAAAATGTCAGTATTAGGTAGGAGCTCTTGATGCCAAAATGTGCCCTGATTCAACCTTGGATTGGATACTCTTCTAGAGAGCAACATGTTGGTTCCTGACATTGTTACAACCAAATAAGAGTGATATAATTGTTGTAAAAAGTGTTAATCTGTTTAAGATTAAAAATGCCACAATATTGAGTTCAACAAACAACTGTCAGTCTATATATTTATTTTTAGTAAATATTTAACAACCAATGATTTTTATACCAAATCTAATAACATTTAAAAGATATTTTGATAAGTACATGAATGAATGTTTGGAGGGATATGGGACAAGTGTAGGCAGATGGGACTAATTTAGTTTGGGATTATGGTCAGCATGGACTGGTTGGACTCAAGGGTCTATTTCCCTGCTGTATGACTCTGTCTAGTGGTAAGTAATTATACAATTAGCATGACAGCTGTCGATTTATTTGAAGCAAAGCCAAGCTAAGAACAAAACTTGCTAGTAACCTCTCTCTCCACAGGTTGGCAAGGTTTTGAGTGAAACATTGACTCCCTTTAAAACACTAATCACTTTTTGGTAAAAATCCATAAGCAAATGCAATTCAGTACAGGTAAGTGTGAGGTGTTGCACTTTGGAAAGTCAAACCAAGGCAGGACTTATACAGTAAATGGTAAGGTCTTGAGGAGTGTTGTGGAACAGAGGGACCCAGGAGTACAAGTACATAGTTTGTTGAAAGTGGCGTCACAGCTAGACAGGATGGTGAAGAAGGCAGTTAGCATGCTGGCCTTCATTGGTCAAAGAATTGAGAAAAGGAGTTGAGATGTTATGTTACGGTTGTATAAGTTGTTGGTGAGGCTGCACTTGGAGTACTGTGTACAGTTTTGGCCACCCTGTTATAGGAGAGACACTGTTAAACTGGAAGGTGTGCAAAGAAGATTTACGAGGCTGTTGCCAGGACTGGTAGGCCTGAGTTATAGGGAGAGGTTGGCCAGGATAGGACTTTATTCCTTGGAACGTTAGGGGTGACCTTATTGAGGTATATAAAATCATGAGGGGGATAAATAGGGTGAATGCATATAGCCTTTTTCCCAGGGATGGGGAATTGAAAACTGGAGAGCGTAGTTTAAGGTGAGAGGGAAAAGATTTAAGGAGGACCTGAGGAGCAACCTCTTCACGCAAAGAGTGGTGTGTATATGGAATGGGCTGCCAGAGAAAGTGGTTGAAGCAGGCACAATAGCAACATTTAAAAGAAAACATTTGGATAGGTACATGGATGGGAAGGGTTTAGAAGGATAAGAACCAAATACAGGCAATTGGAACTGGCTGAGTGGGCACCATGGTCAGCATGGACCAGTTTGGGCTGAAGGGCCTGTATCCATGCTGTATTACTCTATGATTCATTCTACATTTCTCAACCTTTGCATAATTTAGGGAAATAGCTTTCCACGATGGCTACGTTGGACTAGGCTACGGCGGATCAGGCTGCGTCCAGGGTCCTCGGCCTGGGGAGCGTCTATTCTGCCCGTTTTTTTGTCTTTTATTCTGTTCTTCGCTCTTTTTCTAAATTAAAAACTTACCTTGGAGTGGTGACAACATTATTGGAGCAGCTGAGAGCCAGAGCAGAGCGGGCTGGAGGCCTGACCCCAGCAGGAGAACCAGCAGGCTGGAGGCCCTGAACGGAACAGGGATGGACAGCGGGCTTGCAGGATCAAGCAGAGCAGGATGGCCTGTATGCCGAGAGCACAGCGAGAATGGTTGTTGGACTGGGGACCGGTGCGGGTGGTCAGCAGCTTGTGAGCCCAGTCAGACCATGTGTGAAAGCGCCTTGTGGTTGATCGACCGCAAGCCCTTAATGAAAGACTACAATGTTTATGTTTTTAACTTTATTTCTTAATTTTCTAGCTAATAATATGAATCACTAAGGTAAAGTAACTTTTTTTCTTTATTTCTCTATTTTGTATCTAAGATTTATACTTAGGTACTTTGTATCTAAGATGGTGCCACGTGGGATGACATTATAAACTTTTCACTCTAATTCTGTACTTGAGTACACATGACAATAAACCTAATTCTAATTCTAGCTCAGATTAGTTGCTCTGGTGAAACTGATGAATGGACACATGAAAATGTCATCTTGATTAGAGGTGATGCTACACATAGTTGCTCAACTCTACATTTAGTAAGGACCCAAGTTTTGCCTTCAGTAGTTAATTTTATACTCGCTAGAATGAGTATAGTAAGCGCACAAAAATATTAGAATACAGGAGCTAAGTCACATAATATCCCTTATGGGCTATCACATACACCATGTCTTTTGCTAATGACCCACACAATACATTGCCTGTGTCATTCACAGATGTACACATTTGCCTTGAGGGTCTTTGGATTTCCATTTATATAATAGACTAAAGAAGTAGTGAGAATTAATATACAAATTAGAAGCAGAAGTAACCTACTGGGCCCTCAAGCCTGTTCTGCAATTCAGTAAAATGGCTTATCTGTTTGTGTTGTGAATTGCATTCCCAGCTACCTCCAGTAACATTAGATCTTAGATTCTTGATGGGTAAGAGAATCAATCCACCTCTGTTTTAAAACATATTTAATGACCCCTCCTCTACCATGTTCTGAGGGAAAGAATTCCAAAAATGCACAACTTTCAGGAAAGAAAGTTCTCTTATTTAGTGTCCTCAAACCTAATTTTTAAACAGTGAATGCTAGTTCCGTACTCGTCCACAAGGGGAAACATCCTTTCTGCATCTACTTTGTCAAGACTGTGCAGGATCCTATACAATTAATCAAGTCATGCTTCACTCATCTAAACTTCAACCTTTTTTTCATAAGATAACTTGCACATTCTGGGCATCAATTTAGTACAAGCAAAATACTGAGCATTCTGGAGATCTGAAACATAAGTATTTCCAGTACTTTTTGCTTATCAGGCCACAAGGCTGCATACTCAGCCACTTACTCTACTTCTTACACACTCATGACAGTGTGGCCAAATTCAGCTCTAACTCCATTTACAAATTTGCTGTTGACACCATCACTATCTCAAAACACGATGAGATAGCGTGCAAGAAAGAGATAGCTTAGTAGCAGGGAGTAAAGACAACAATCTCTCCATCAAATGTCAGCAAAATGAAAGAGGTGGTCATCGACTTCAGGAAGCGGAGTGTGTATCAATGGTGCTGAGGTGGAGGTGGTCAAGAGCTTCAAGTTCCTGGGAGTAAACATCACCAACGATCTATCCTGGTCCATCCACGTTGACACTACAGTCAAGAAAGCACACCATGGTCTCTACTTCCTCAGAGAATTAAGGAAATTTGGCATGTCCACAATGATTCTTACCAATTTCTATCAATGCACCACGGAAAGCATCCTACCCAAATGCACCACAACTTCGTATGGCAACTGCTCTGCCCAAAAGTGCAAGAAATTACAGAGACTTGTGAATGCAGCCCAGTCCATCACTTAAACCATCCTTCACTCCATTGACTCTGTGTCTACAATTCCCACTGCCTTGGGAAAGCAGCCAACGTGATAAAGGACCCCTCACCCCAGTGATACTTTCTTCCACCTTATTCCATCGGGCAGAAGATGTAAAAGTTTAAAAACATGGATTTAAGAACAGCTTCTTCCCTGCTGTTATCAGACTTATGAATGGACCTCTCGTACATCAGAGTTGATCTTTCTCTGCACCTTCTCTGTAGCTGTAACACTATCGTCTGCATTGTGTTCGATTGCCCTGATGTACTTATGTAAGGTATGATTTGTCTGGTTAGCATGCAAAACAATACTTTTCATTATCTCAGTACATGTGACAATAATAAATCAAACCAAATCAAATCAGTCAGAATTTTATAGAGAAAGATTAATGTTTCAGGTTGATGACCTATAATTAGAACCTGAAATGTTAACTCTCTCACTACCAAGCCACACAAAATATCATCTTAATTGACCAACTTCATTTCATCTATTCGTCACTAAAACTGCTTACTACCAATACTCATAATACCTGTGTTCACCCGACTGTACTTCTATTCATAATATGTCAATCCTGGTCTTGATGTCTCCAATATCTTACATAAACAGAACCTTGGATTTTCTATTGTCGTCTTTACAGGATGTCTCAAAGTATTTTTAAAATCAGATGACACATTTCTAAAGTACGTATACTTTCAGATCCTAGGACATACAAGCAGAAATAGGCTATTAGGCACATCACGTCTACTCTGCTATTCAATGAGATCATGGCTAATCTGATAATCCTCACCTCCATTTTCCCGTCATCACCATGACCCTTGATTCCCTTACTGATTAGAAATGTCTATCTCAGCCTTGAACATACTTAATGAAACAGTCAGCTGTCCTTGGCAACCAATTCCTCCTTTATGTCCTAACTTATATATTTTAATTAGGTCTTTTCTCATTCTTCTAAATACCATGATACTGTAAACTTCAAAGCTTTGATAACTGTTCAGGGATTGAAAGAATTAGCAATAACTTTTTATCTGGAATACCTGTTTCCTAAGATAAAAGGGACAAAGAGAAATTTATGAAGGAATTAAAAACAACATGCCAGCCAACCAACCATCCTTGGGAAGAAGGGGTCAAAGCAATAAAAACAAGCAGTTTCCTGGGAGAGAGGAGGTAACAATTTGCTGCCATGTGACAAATGGGCAATTAAGATTGGCTGCATAAGGAATGTCCCGAGGCGAAGGGGTTAATTGCGGGTCTCTCCAAATTTTGAACAGTTAATACTAAAATGTAACAAGGAACAGAGAAGCTACTCCTGATAAGAAAGCATCTACAGACTTGATTATTCTAGAAATGTAATCAATGTTGGAAATGAATGGATCTAAAGGATTGTCAATAATGTCATATCAGGAACTGCGGAAGACAGAAAATCCTATAAGAATTCAAATTCAGGATTCTTCAGCAGAACTTTGAAGAACCACACTGCACATGAATCGAACACTGGACATCCAGAGACAGATACTGTTGGTTGGAATTGTAGCAAAATTCCACCATTAATTGTATAATATCTAAGGTGAATTGTATAATATCTAAGTTGAGTGTGAGGCGTAACTTGCTGACTTGAGGGGTCTTAGTTTGTTTGCTATGTGCATTCAAATTTAAGTAATTGTTTCAGTATTTTGTGAGTTTTTTTTAATAAGTAGCCTAATTAAAGGTAGCTTGTGGTAATTTACACAACCATGACAGTGAGTACAAGCCCAATTTACTCAACCTCTTATCATTAAAAACAATCCCTCCTTACCCAGGATCAACCAAGGGAACCATCTCTGAACTGCCTCCAATGCCAGTATATCTTTTCTTAGGGAAAGATTTAAGTCGTGCTAATTGGCACGATTTAGATAATGGCGCTGGTACGGTTTGCGTAATGATACTGGCATAGTTCAGCTAGTGCCAGTGGAAACAGTAATGGTGTATGGTTAGCACTGGCATTGGTTTGACAAGTTGGCAAAGGAATTCTCTGATAGCAGCCAGTCCCTGAATTTCTCGCGCGTGACTTACGGCCTCAAGCTAGGCTGCAGAAAATGGCTGAATAATAATGAGAGAAAGCTTTGCCTTTGGCCCTCACATCTGTCCTGATAGCGGACCCGAGTCCTTGGTACTCCCGGATTGCATTAACCGCTTCGCCCTCGATCCTCCCTGAGGCCGACAGCAGCGCGCAGGCGCAAAGCAGGGCCAGGGGCGATGCGCCTGCGCAGTAAGAGGACCAGGTGACGGCGGACCGTTGCCAAGGGAATGGTTGGAGCTTGTCTCATTTTGCATTATTTTAGGGATTGTTGGGCAATTTCTATTGTCTCTGATGAAGCAGCCGAAAAAATTACACTGCATTGCCCATGGGCTCCTGGGTAAGCAATACCAGAGTTTTAAAATTCTCATTCAAATCAGTTGTAATGAAAAGTTACTGATGAAGTTCCACGTACTGTCATTCTTGTCTTTCCTTTATTCATTAACAGGGTGAGGGCATCGCTGGCTAGGCAGCCCATCCCTAATTGCCCTGAGGGCAGTTGAGAGTCAACCCCATTGCTGTGGGTCTGGAGTCACATGTAGGCCAGACCACGTGAGGATGGCAGTTTCCTTCCCAAAAGGACATTAGTGAACCAGATGGGTTTTCCTGACAATCGACAGTGGATTCATGGTCATCATTAGATACTTAACTCCAGATATTTTATTGAATTCAAACTCCACCATCTGCCATGGTGGGATTTAAACCCAGGTCCCTAGAATGTTATCTTGGTCTCTGGATTAATAGTCTAGTGATAATACCACTAGGCCATCATCTCCCCTATGGCTGCTCCTTCATCCACTCAATATTCCCAGCATTTTACTTAAAATCTTCTGCCGTGTTTTCAGATCCCTCCGTGGCCTCACCCTCCCTATCTCTGTAAACACCCCACCCCCCTCCCCAAAAGCTCCACAATCCTGTAATTCTGGCCTTTTGTGCATCCCTGGTTTTAATCACCCTTCTATTAGTGGCTGTGTCTTCAGTCATCTTGCCCTAAACTCTAGAATTCCCTACCCACATCTCTTCAGTTTCTTTCAGATTTCCCTGAAAAAAAACTGGTCCTTTTGACCCAGCTTTTTATCACCTGCTGTACTGTATGTGGCTCACTGAAAATATTTTCATAACAATTCTGAGAAATGCTGTAAATTGGTTTATTACATTTAAGTTTAGGGTTATATGCACAGGCCGTTGTTGTAAATCCTCCACGCAATGATGGCTGAGTGTTCTCGTATTTCACTACATGGCCTGTCTGCTACCGAAAGCCAAGCAAGACACAAAGACAAGAGCCCAGACTGGGCAACATTCCGACGGCTGTTCCTGTTTTATTTTCTCTTTACTGTACAACTGAAGGTAAGTCACAGCTGCTGGTCCCAGCTCATTACCCATATTGATTTTCATGCAAGATGACGAGTGCTTTCTGCTCCTAATAGGTTATGTTTTGATGAAAGTGATAATTCATTTAGCAGCTCAATTGGAGTTTTCAGCTGGTTGGATTTTGCATTCATGTGTGGTCATGTGTCGCTGTGCATTGAAAGCTCATCAAGGATCATTGCGATTATGTGGCAGACTTCCCTGGCCTGAGGAAAAATAAAATGGCACCTGTCAAAATAATGGTTCTTGCTATTACTTGATTTCTCACAAGCAAATTCTCCACCGTGACTGCATTACAATTTTCTGATGGATCTGGGACTGATATGCAGCTCCATGCTTCACTGCTAAAGATTGTATCTAACCCCTCGAGTGAGAGATGGCTTATTAAAGAAAAACAACATCAAGCACCCAGTGTCTGCATCAATTATGCTTGGATACCGTAATGGCCTCTCTCTGCATATGTCCATAATTCCTTTAGTTCCCTTTCAACAATGATGCTCAGTCACGAACTCAGAAGACAACTCCCTCTTGTACCACTTCAACATGTTTCCATTTATGTCACTTACTCTGGCTTTTCTGAGTGGGCCTAGCAGTATTAAATTTGGAGCTATGTATTGCTGACCAAGTAAGAACTAATGCAGGCTATCATGTCATAATTCACATGCCCCTCTACATTTAGTGGTCAGTCTCAGTTAGTGGTTGATTTGAATCGATGAAGCCAGTGATGAAAGGCTATCTAACTCATTTTGCCTACTTAAGCTGCAGTAATTTATATTTCAATTTAAACTGTGCCCTTCCTCTTACCTCTTTCAGTTCAAGGGCGATTGTCTGTGGTTTAATTATGGAGCCAAAATTGATTTCCATCTCTCGGATTTTTGATCCTTTGGTTGGGTGCAAGGAGCGCATCGTATGGATCTCCATGAGAGGAATCTTCAGGAGCTCACACTGCAACAAATTATTAATTCTACAGATCAAACATGTTTATAAATTGGGAGGCTTACGGTGTAGAGATATCATCAAATAACAAGCAGCACACTACAAGTTTGTTAATAACATCATAAGAAATTGGAGCAGAAGTCAGCCATTTAGCCCATCCAGCCTGTTCCACCAGTAATTAATGTCATAGAACATAGAACATTACAGCGCAGTACAGGCCCTTCGGCCCTCGATGTTGCGCCGACCTGTGAAACCAATCTGAAGCCCATCTAACCTACACTATTCCATTATCATCCATATGTTTATCCAATGACCATTTAAATGCCCTTACTGTTGCAGGCAGGGCATTCCACGCCCTTACTACTCTCTGAATAAAGAACCTACCTCTGACATCTGTCCTGTATCTATCACCCCTCAATTTAAAGCTATGTCCCCTCGTGCTAGCCATCACCATCCGAGGAAAAAGGCTCTCACTGTCCACCCTATCTAATCCTCTGATCATCTTGTATGTCTCTATTAAGTCACCTCTTAACCTTCTTCTCTCAGATGAAAACAGCCTCAAGTCCCTCAGCCTTTCCTCATAAGACCTTCCCTCCATACCAGGCAACATCCTGGTAAACCTCCTCTGCACCCTTTCCAATGCTTCCACATCCTTCCTATAATGTGGCGACCAGAACTGTACGCAATACTCCAAGTGTGGCCGCACCAGCGTTTTGTACAGCTGCAACATAACCTCATGGCTCCGAAACTCAATCCCTCTACCAATAAAACCTAACACACTGTACGCCTTCTTAACAACGCTATCAACCTGGGTGGCAACTTTCAGTGATCTATGCACATGGACACCGAGATCTCTTTGCTCATCCACACTACCAAGAATCTTACCATTAGCCCAGTACTCTGTATTCCTGTTACTCCTTCCAAAGTGAACCACCTCACACTTTTCTGCATTAAACTCCATTTGCCACTTCTCAGCCCAGCTCTGCAGCTTATCTATGTCCCTCTGTAACCTGCAACATCCTTCCGCACTATCCACAACTCCACTGACTTTAGTGTCATCCGCAAATTTACTAACCCATCCTTCAACGCCCTCATCCAGGTCATTTATAAAAATGACAAACAGCAGTGGCCCCAAAACAGATCCTTGAGGTACACCACTAGTAACTGAACTCCAGGATGAACATTTCCCATCAACCACCACCCTCTCTCTTCTTACAGCTAGCCAATTTCTGATCCAAAACGCTAAATCACCCTCAATCCCATGCCTCTGTATTTTCTGCAATAGCCTACCGTAGGGAACCTTATCAAATGCTTTACTGAAATCCATATACACCACATCAACCGCTTTACCCTCATTCACCTGTTTGGTCACCTTCTCAAAGAACTCAATAAGATTTGTGAGGCACGACCTACCCTTCACAAAACTGTGTTGACTATCCCTAATCAAATTATTCCTTTCTAGATGATTATAAATCCTATCTGTTATAATCCTTTCCAACACTTTACCCATAACTGAAGTAAGGCTCACTGGTCTATAATTACCAGGGTTGTCTCTACTCCCCTTCTTGAACAAGGGGACAACATTTGCTATTCTCCAGTCTTATGGCACTATTCCTGTAGACAATGACGACATAAAGATCAAAGCCAAAGGCTCTGCAATCTCCTCTCTAGCTTCCCAGAGAATCCTAGGATAAATCCCATCCGGCCCAGGGGACTTATCTATTTTCACACCTTCCAGAATTGCTAACACCTCCTCCTTATGAACCTCAATCCCGTCTAGTCTAATAGCCTGTATCTCAGTATTCTCCTCGACAACATTGTCTTTTTCCTGTGTGAATACTGACGAAAAATATTCATTTAGTGCCTCTCCTATCTCTTTGGACTCCATGCACAACTTGCCACTGCTGTCCTTGACTGGCTCTAATCTTACTGTAGTCATTCTTTTATTCCTGACATACCTATAGAAAGGTTTAGGGTTTTCCTTGTACCAACCTGGCTGTTCTTAGCTCTCTCTTTAGGTCCTTCCTGGCTAACTCTCAAGCACCCTAACTGAGCCTTCACGCCTCATCTCTACATAAGCCTCCTTCTTCCTCTTGACAAGGGATTCAACTTCTTTAGTAAACCACGGTTCCCTTGCTCGACCACTTCCTCCCTGCCTGACAGGTACATACACTTTCCTGAATGTCCCCACATACGTATCAGTCAGATGTCATGTGGCTGGAGCAATGTGACACTTATGTAGGCTGTTAGTGTCCAATGTATCCTTATGTGGAATTTAGTATACAGAGCAGATTGCCAAGAAATTTGGTGCATGTAGTATACTATACCTTGGTATTCTCATTTAAGATAATTAGATCTTCCTGATTGACTCCTAAAATGCATGGAGTTGGTATCCAATGTTCACTTGTGTTATTCACAGTGAAGACATTGTAACCGAACAGTGGCATAGCCTTCACTTCACCTGAACATGGAAGGAAGAGAAAATAGAGTGTCATTCTGGATTTGTAAATACCAAATTGAACATGGGAAGGAATCAGAGGGATTGTTGCACTGGACTATATTAGACTGCCTGTCCAGTGGGTGGTGATAGGGCTTTTCACTAGTTTGACCTTATTAATGTTGCCCATGCCATCAGACCTCTCACTGAGTTACTTTGTACCTGATATAGGCCTTACAACAATGGAAATGTGTGCACCTAAAAATCCAATGCCATGAAGGAGCATATCCTCTTTATTCCGCAGTGGTTCAGAGTCACTCATTTCACATATCATAAACTGCTGAAGAAACACAATTCTCTCAGAATCTTCACATTGCCGTAACTTTATTGTGTTACCTATAACATCCCATTCTTGTTACCTATAACATCCCAGTGTTTTAAGTGGTCAGGCTAGCTTAAAGCAGACATTTCCATATAAACGACATTGCCAATGAGATTACTGAACCCCACCACCCAGAAGAATGCCAGGGATTAGAAGGGCTTCCTATACCTCTCCACTGAAGTTATTTTACACATTTGAAAATGGTATTGCATCTGCTGCTTGCACCGTAGTAGTTGAATTGTCTAATTCTTGAAACTGGACATAGCGATTGCAGAACAAAACCAAAGTTGCTGGAAAAGCTCAGCAGGTCTGGCAGCATCTGTGAAGGAAAAAACAGAGTTAACGTTTCAGGTCCGGTAACCCTTCCTCAGAACACCAGACCCGAAACGTTAACTCTGTTTTTTCTTCACAGATGCTGCCAGACCTGCTGGGCTTTTCTTGCAACTTTGGTTTTGTTCCTGATTTACCGCATCCACAGTTCTTTCGGTTTTTGAGGAGATTGCAGAACAAATTTAACTTGACTCAACACAACCCTCTCCCCACCAACCTCACTGGACCTGTCAGATCCCATCCCCAACCTGACATAAATGCTTCTCTACCTCATACCTCACTGGACCTTAACCCATTCTGAATGGACGCCCTTTCTCCAAGCCAGAACTGCCACCCATTCTCTTTCTCCTCCACTCCACCCCTATTCCATCGCCATTGGACTCAACATTTCTTTCAAATTCAACAACACTGACTTTAGTCATTCCACTGTCCCCAGCCGTGTCAGACAATCTCCCAATCTGACACCACCACTGGCCACAGCTCTGCTGGACATGATCCCTGTCACATTCCTCAATTCTAGCACACAATAGCCACTCCTAACCCTGCTTGATCTGAGACCCACCACCAATTCCTAACTGGACAGTGCTACCTCTTCTCCCTCCTCTACCTTGCTGAACCTGACTCCTTGACCCCTGAGACTCTGTGACAGGTTACCGACACCAACCCTGCTGGAATCAGCCCACCCCATTCCCAGCTGGAGAGACTGTTGGACAGGACACCCAAACTAACCCTGCCAGACCCAGTCATCCCACTCCCAACTGCTGAGATCCTTAGACAGGACATCCACTCCAACCCTGCTGGACCCAGCCTTCCCCTTCCACCTGAGGCCCTCAGACCTAATATGCACTGAAACCCTCCTGAACCCAGCCACTCCCAAACTTTGAGACCCTTGGATCCAATAACTACTCCAACTCTCCCAAACCTATGCACTCACCCACCATACCACACCCTTCCCTTAACATATTTGACATCCAACCAGCGGAAGCTGTCAAAGTGGCTGACTATGGGGATTGTCATTGGTTTTGACAATAACCTTCTGATGACTAGCTGCAAATATTTCTGGACTGGTCTCTTTTTTTGTAATAGGAGGTTTCTATCCAGGAATTTTCAGAATGGAAATTCTCTAAGTGTAACTCTGCATTTTTCTGTCTGATCAGGGCTGGAAATGGGGTTTCTCACCCTGATTGGAATTTCCGTGCCAGTGGAGGTGAAGAAACACCATCATATATTTGTAGCCACTAGTTCAGAGACAAATGGACTCTGTCTATTTTAGAGTCTAGGATAGGGGAAGAACTTGCACGTAATGATGTCCATCCAGAAGTGAGCTATTGCCAGGGTAGATGGAAAGAATAACAAGGTGCTTGCTTGCTGGGGGCACACACTAGTTCTGTTCCGTGGGATTTGGATGAGGCTGATGGGTGTACACACTAATGCTTAGCAAACTGATAAGTCTGTCAGAAACTAGTATACACTATCAATGGGCTTGGGGAAGTCTGATGTAATCTTGGCATATTGGGTGTACACTTGTTGCCCAGTAGGGGGCCTTTAACATGGGTCAAATGCAGGTGATACAGAGAATGAAAGAACTGTGACTCTCAGCAGGATAACGGACATTCCTGTTTACACTGCAGTGCCTGTGGTCACATTACAGATGGAAATTAAGTGACTGGAATCCCTTACAGTTCATGAAAATAGCTAAGTTCATGTGCAATGCAATGGCACTGCGGTCAATGACATCTAGAACCCTGGCGAAGCCTGGAATAGAGACAAAGTCTTGTACTCCCTCTGTCTGCTCATCTGTGGTTAGAGGGAATTAAGTCATTTTGATCTGTTTAAAGAACATCAGTCATGTCTCTTATTCAGTGGTAAGCTGTCATTATGTCTCTAGCAGCAGCCTGAAAGAAGCAAATAACAGCCATGAACATCTTGGTTGACCCAGTCAATGCTGTCCTTGCTCTGTTTTGAAGTTGGCAGTTGTGGTGACAGCAGTTGGCAGCAGACACAACCGCTTTTGTGAAGCAAAGATGTGTCAAGCTGTGTGCCATGCTGCAGCTGAGGTAAGAGAATGGTTCCATTCACCACCAAGATGATCTGACAGCCCTCCACTTCCTTTTTAAATGGAGGCCCAAGCGTTTTCCATCCAGCACCACCCTCCTCTGCTGGGATGAACTTACTGTCCTATGGAACAACTTCTCCTTCAACTCCATGCTTCCTCCAAATGAAAGGTATGTCTGTGGGTACCACTAATCTTTGGAATTCTAACCCCAGTGAGCAGTAGAGGCAGTGAACGTATTCAAGGCTGAGTTAAACAGATTTTTGATTTGCAAGACGGCAAAAAGGGGGAGCCCAGCACATCATTGGAAACGGTAAGGCTGAAGCATTCGCAACAATCTTCAGCCAGAAGTGCTTGAGTGGCTGATCTATTTTAGCCTCTTTCACAGGTCCCCAATATCACAGATGCTTCAGCCAATTCAATTCACTCCAAATGATATCAAGAAACAGCTGAAGAAATTGGTTACTGCAAAGCTATGTCTTTTGACAATATTCCAGGAAAAGTACTGAAGACTTGTGCCTGAGAAATTGCTGTGCCCAGAGCCATACTGTTTTAGTACAGCTATACCACTGGTAATGTAGAAAATAGTCCTGTTATTCCCTGTGCAGAAAAAGCAGGACAAATCCAATTGGGCCAGTTACTGCCCCATCAGTCTACTCTCAATTATTAGTACAGTAATGGAAGATGTTTTCAACAGTGCTATCAAACAGCAGTTGCTTAACAATAACCCCAGTTTGGATTCCACCAGGGCCAATCAGCTCCTAACCTCTTTACAGCCTTAGTTCAAACATGGACAAAAGATCTGAACTTCAGAGGTGGGGTGAAGGTGACTGTCTTTGACGTCAAGGCCGCAGTTGACCAAGTGTGATACCAAGAATCCTGAACAAAACTCAGTGGGAATTGGGAAATCTTTCTGCTGGGTGGAGTCATAGCAGAAAGGAAAATGATGTGATTGTTGGAGGTCAGTCATCTCAACTCCAGGATATCCTGCAGGAGTTCCTGAGAGTAATAGAAAACTTGTAACAGTTAAATCGACTCCTGTTTTCCCTAAGTCTGTCTACAACCTATATCTACATGGCACAAATCATGAGTGAGAAAGCTTGCTCCCATTTGTCTAAATGAGTACAGCTCTAACAACACTCAAGAATAATTGAAAGAATCCAGAACAAAGCAATCTGGTTGATTGGCACCACATCCACAAACATCCACTCCTTCCATCACCAATGCATAATAGCAGCAGTATGTTACATCTACAAGATGCACTGCAGAAATTTACCAAGCCTCCTTAACACAGTACCTTCCAATCTTATGACCACTACTGCCTAGAACAAGACCAGTGGACAAAGAGCAAGACTGAATTTGCAAATATCATTCTCAGCCATGTGCCGTCCTGACTTGGAAATATATCTTCGTCCCTTCATCATCACTAGTTCAGAATCCTGGAACTCCCTAACAACACTACAGGTCTACTTCCTTCCTCTAAAGCAATTTCTTGAGACCAAGGATGACTTTATTCCACTTCGAAGCTGTGGACCCTGAGGTGACTAAGTCGTGCAATGCTGTATGCACACACCATGTCGCAGCTAGGCAGATGGTATGTGCTTAGGTTTCTGCTGTTTCAGCCTGGCCTCCACTTCAGCCTGTTTTGGATGCTCAAGATGGTTGGAACTTTCGTAAATGTTTCTATTGCAGTTTAGGTATTCTCAGACAAGAGATTCCCATAAGTCAGTGGAATGTGGCATCTTTTCAGGGAGATTTTGAGGATATCCTTGAAGCATTTTCTCTCCCCACCTTGTCACAGCTTGCTGTGTCAAATTCTGGAGTAGAGAGTGCACTTTGGAAGTCTTCTGTAAATAGTGTGGTCCATCCAACCCAGCTAATTGATAGTAACCAGTGCCTCAACAGACGAACCTCCACCACATTGAGTGCAGCAACATAAAAAAAAGGCTCACCAGCACCTTCTGAAATAGGAATGGTAGCAAATGTTGTTCTTGCCAGTGATAGAATATGATAGAATAGGAATAAGACCCTATGATCAAATCTTTAAAAAACAGGACACTAAAGCTGATAAAATCTGCAATTTGAGAATGCATTTGTTTGAGTTGATCGTGTGTCGTGTGAGATGAGATATCAGAATATTGTAAAGGTATTAGCCGACATCTATCATTATAAATGCCTTGACAAAAAATCTTTGAGGAGCATGGTGTCCATAAATAAAAACAGTGAGAATTCTTTGCCTAGCGCCCTTGACCATGATGT